CACGCTCCAGCTCTCCCGTGGGCGCGGGGGGCGCCCAGGGCGGCGGACGGCGGGGTGGAGGCCCAGCGCCCGGTAGAGGAGGCCGCTCTCCGGGCACCGGGAGCCGCACGTCCACTCTGCGGGACCAGGGGTGCAGGGGGTGCACTGGGCTGCCGGGGACCCCGCGCCGGGCACAGCCTGCCCGCAGTCAGGCTCGCGCGGCCCCCGCGCCAGCCTCTGCACGTAGGGGTGCTGGAGCCTCTGCCGCGCTCAGGCGCTGGTCGGGGGCGAACACCAGGAGCCGGCCCAGGGCGTGGGAGGGGTCCGGCGGCAGGAGGGCCCGGTGTGTGCCCTGACCTGCAGGCAAGCGGCCTCGTCTCCCTCCAGGCCCTGCCCTGCAGACCTGCTTGTGGCCCCTGGGCTGGCATCCAACCTGCCCCCGTCCCCCTCCCCATTTCCTGTCCAGATAGACCCTCAAGACCTGCAGAGAGCTGGGGAGACCCTGACCACCTCTCCCTTTCCTCTGCTCCTCCGGCCTCACCAGGACCCTCTGGAGGCTTCTGAGCTGGACTGTTCAATGGAGGAGGGGAATTGCCCCTCTAAAAATTCTCTCCCCAGTTACGTGCTGCATTCAGGGCTGGTGTCAGCAGGGCACAGGTGCACAGGCCTGCTGTGCTAGCTATGGAACGGTGCCCATTCCTGCCTCCGCCCTCCCCCCCACACACCCTCACCGAGACCTCAGGTTGTGCAGAGCCAAGGTGCTGTGTAGTCTGAGCAGAGAGCTGAGACCTGCCTGGGGGGAGGTGACCAGGCCTGTCTGCTGAGGGCCTGGAGCCAGCTGTTCCTTCTGGACCCTGGGCCATTGGCTGTCTGGCGGGGCTGTGCTGAACCGGCCCCTATGAGGGCCCTCGGTCCTGACTGCACCCGCTCCCCAACACCTTTCTCCACCTCTCCCCACAGTGCTGGGTTCCCTGGCTGGACTCTCAGCAGCACCCCTGCTACCCACATTCCTGGGCAAGCTGGACCCCAGCTGTGTGGCCCCTGAGGCCCTGTGCTACGCATTACTTCCCCCACAGCTGCCCACACTGGGCCCTCCATCTTCATGACCTATGCTATTTCCAGTCCTTCTGGGGCTCCATGTCCACCCCTGCCGCCTCCTCTCCCTGTCCCCCTCCCTGGTGAATTGCTGCTTCCCCACAGCCGGGCTCACGCACCATCCACCAGCAGGGGGACGGTCTCCAGGACCAGCTCCAGCTGGGGGGGGAGATGAGCAGGGGAACAGCGGCCGGCCTCCCAGCATCTCTCCCAAGCAGCCCAGGCTCCACATGTCCACCCCAGGGGTGTACCTGGGGCAGGAAGGGGAGTGGACGAAGGGCTGCTCAGGGGTGGAAGCAGGGGTGCAGGGGTGCAGACAGGAAGGCCCAGGAAGGCCCGTGTGGGAGCAGCCACATGGGATGGGCGTGGAGAGGACGGGTGTGCTGGGGGACCCAGCACCTCCAGGGCTCGGAACCACTGTGTGGCCATGTGCTGGGTCAGCACCTGGCCCTCGGGCCCCGTGGGGAGGTCGCCCAGGGAGCGGGCAAGGCCGAAGTCGCAGAGCTTTACGGTGCAGCTGGCATCCACAAGGACGTTGGATGGCTGGAGATAGTGGTGCGCTGCTGGGTAGGGGCCGGGCGCACACGGGGGCAGGGTTCTGCGGGTGCACACAGGGGCAGGGGTCTGTGGGCACACATGGGGGTGGAGCCTGCAGGCAGCCTGAGGCAGAACTTTCTGGTCTCTGTGGATGAGCATCCCGGAGGAGATGCATGTGGCAGCCTGCAGGGGCTGGTGGAAGATGTAGCTCTGTGGACATCGCACAGCAGGCTGCCCTTCTGGATGACGGCATTCAGGTCGGTGTCTGGGGAGGTGGGGGAGCCAGCGAAGGACATGCAGGCCAGCCTGGGGGTGAACCCACCTGACCCTCAGCCCATCCTGGGCGCTCCCTGCTTGGCTACTCTGCCAAGTCTCCATTCTACTCCCTGTCCAGTAGACAATAAAGTTCTACCAATCTATTTTCTTCTTTTTCTTTTTGTCAGTCGTGAGGTTTGAACTCTGGGCTTGGACGCTGTCTCTGTACTGTACTCTTCAGGTCAAGGTGAGTGCTCTACCGCTAAAGCGAGCGCTCTACCGCTTGAGCCACAGCGCCACTTCTGGTTCTCTAGTGCTTTATTGGAGATAAAGAGTCTCATGGACTTTCCTGCCCGGGTTGGCTTTGAACCATGATCCTCAGACCTGAGCCTCCTGAGTAGCTAGGATGACAGGCATGAGCCACCGGTGCCCAGCATGCAGATCTATTTTCATACTCGCATATCACCCTTGTGTTACAAAATGAGCGGGAGAAAGAACACATAGCTGCAAGTGGGGACAGAGCAAGAGCTCCGTGGGAGCAAGCAGTGGCCCCACCAGGCCCAGAGGCCAACTCACCAGCCCTGTGTCCTTGGGTACGTGACACGGCCAAGGGCACTAGCCACAGAAGAGACACAGGCAGCCGAAGGTCAGAGAGGCCGCAGGCAAGGGTGGGGCAGAGAGGAGAAGAGGCCAGTGAGGCCCTCCTCCCCATGGACTCAAACACCAGATAAATGTCCTTGTCATTTTCAGCTGGGACACCGCAAGCAGGTGGACGATGTTGAGATGATCCCCGAATGCCTGTGGAGAGTTGCTGCTGCTGGGAGGCCTGGGCTGTGCTCTGGGCATCGAGGGGCCAGCGTCCCCCTTGTCTGGAGAGATCTGAAGCTGGGAGGACAGATGCAGGCCAGACAGCTCGCATCCAGAGCCACTCACCTGGAGAAGCGTGACCTTCCGGAACATTCTCTGAAAGAGACAAAAACACACATTCACCCATCCAGCCAGCCTGGCCAGGAGGCCTGCTGTGATGTTCTGAGCTCCTGGCCAGGCACCAGCCCTGCCCACCCCTGCCCAGCACTCACCTGAGCATCTGTCTTGTCTCTGAAGGCATGGAAAATTTTCTTGATAGCCACCACCTCACCAGCCACTGCCCTCCACACGATGCCACAGGTCTGGGGGCAGCGTGGTCAGCAGCGGCGCCAGCCTCCTGCCCAGCCATCCCCTGCCCACAAAGGTCATCCCTGCAGAGGAGAGCTACACAGTCCAGCCTCTGGGTTCTGGGAGGAAGCGGTGTGGTGAGGCCTTTAGAGGAGGCCGCCAGGGGAGGAAGAGCTAGCACCGGCCCTGGGAGGACCGGAGGCCATGGTGAGCTCTTAGGGTACCTGCCCCTGACAGGCTCAAGCTCTTTGCCTTCCAGCCAGCCGAGTACCCTGCCCCTGCTCCCCCCTGTTCTCCTCCCCCTCCTGGCCTGTCCCTTGCTCCGCCCTGTCCAATCTGCTTGGCAAATCTCCTTGCTTCTCCCTTCAGATGCATCCAGTGTGACACTCCGAGGCCCGGCCTTGGTCCAAGCCTCCAGTATCTCCTGCTGGAAGGCTACCCTCCTCCATGGTGCAGACCAGGGAGCCTGTACTGCCGCCCCACAGGCCCGTGCTAGCCAGAGCCCAAGACCTCAAGGTTGAGCAGCAGCTGCCTCCCCCATGGACCCTGGCCCCAGCTGTATCCTTCCTCCCTGCGTTCACTCTACCCAGCTGTGACTTCTACACGGGCCAAGCTCCTTCCACCTCAACGCATTTGTGCTGGCTGTTTGTACTTTCCAGAATGTTCTTCCTTTCTCCTGCAGTCAGTGTACACTGAGGGACACACCCTACCTCCCCAGCGTGTCCTGGGGCAGGTAACATGCCAGGCTGCCCGAGGGCAGGGGACGGGGCAGGGGTTACAAGGCCTGAGTACCAGCCAGCTTCCTTGGGGAAAGTGAGGCACGGGGGCTCCAGGAAATGTTTAGGCCGCTGAGTCAGCCGCCAGCATCGGGCGACCAGAACTGCCCATGGGCAGGGGGCGGACGCGGGCGGACGCGGGCGCCCCAGCTCACCCCTTTCCCGAGCCGCGACATGGCACTGGCTCCGGTCTGCAGATGGGCAGGCCCCCCGGCCCTGCGTCCGCCCCCCCCCCCGCCTCCCCTGGGACCGCCCTGGCTTTGGGCCCACGTCGGCCCGCGGTGTCTACTTGGGGCCAGACCCGCTCCGCAGGTTCGCGGCTGGGGAGCGCAGCTCAAGGACGACCGGAGACGAGCGCGGCGCGGGAGGGCGCCGGGCCGGGAGCGGCCCAAGAAGGGGCAGCGAGGGGGAAGCGCAGCGCCCGGCCCAGGCGGCG